GCCGCTCGCCTTCGCCCCGCAGCCCCTGGCTTGGATGTGCGGGCTGATGTCTTCTGAGGAACTGATGCTTTCAGTCCAGACTCCCCACCGATGGCTCTGATCTCCTCTGCTGCCCCCTCGACCCCCAGCCTGGGACCCTCGGCCTCTCCGCCGGGAGTGGGGATGCTCGCTTTCCTCCTGGCAGGCTGTGCCAGCCACCTGCCAGTCGGCTCGGAGTATTTTCCCATCACATGTTCCTGCCTCGCTGAGTCGTCGAGCCCTCTTAGTCTGTGAAAATTCCCCCTGCTTTACCAGTATCCTCCGGGGCTGCTGCCTCTTCGGCTTTCTGGTCTTCACCTACCCTATTCCTTGGCCACATCCTATTCAGACCTCACCCTCAGCTTGTCCTGCCCCTTTGGAGGCTTTGAGAAGAGTGGACAGCTTCACGTGGAGGTACGGGCAGAGGTTGTCCTTGTTTGATAGGACACTGGCTGCAGGGGGAACGATTTGGGAGCCATGGGCTGTCGGCTCATCCGTGGTCTCTCTGGAGCTGCAGTCTTCCTTGTCAGTGTGGCTCTCCTCTCCGTGCGGCACCGTGGGGCTCAGGAAACAGCTCGGTATCCAGGGCTCAGGGAGGGGATGTCGGAGAAGCTGGAGCGACCGAGCAAAGTGAGCCCAGAGGATGCCACGGGAGGTGGTGGCAGGGGGCAGAAGGGCCTGCAAGTCCATCCTCCGGAGGGATACAGGACTGAGGGAAGCCTGACCCTTGGGGACATTTTCATAGCCGTGAAGACAACCAAGAGATTTCACCAGAGCAGAATGGAGCTGCTCCTGGACACATGGATATCCCGAACAAGAGAGCAGGTGAGCGTGTGGATTTGGGCTAGAGAGGGGGTGTTTGGTAATGGTGCCATGATGGGGTGTTGGAGGTGGGGGGATAAAGGCCAAAGGAAGGGGAGGCTGGGCACTGCATCCCACCCAGTACTTTGCCTCATTTTTCCCTAATTCTTGCTTCTGTTCATGTTGAAAGGGGAATGCTACCCAGCAAAATGTTGCACTGGTAGCTGGTTCATGGGGAAGGCTAGCAGAGAGGATGAAGAACTTGTATGGGCCCTTCCTATGAAGGCTGGGAGGATGAGTGCTCTTAGCAGGCATCACCTGCCCCTAACCTAAGCCTGACTCTTTCAGCTTGAAGTGGATGGGATTTAATTTCCCTTTTTATCCAGTAACACTGGAGGCTTCAGACTGCCTGGGCCGCACCAGACTGAGAGCACAGACTGTCCTGGGTCTGTACGAAATGGTGGTTTTCTACTTCCTAGTGCCACGAGTTTGCTAGGTTTTGAGCTGAGTGGCTCCCCCTGCCCCTCCATCAGGATGCGCACATGGTGCCCGGGCACCCTTCTCCCTGGGATGGTGTGGTGCAGCGGGCAGAAGAGCGAGACTGCAGGATGCGGGTGCAGGAGGGGTGTCTGCAGCCCTGTTCACTCCCCAGCACATCAGCACATTCCATGCTTTGTTTTCTTGGGCAGATCCCCTCACGTGGATGATCTTGATGTATATTTGACTTTTTTAATATTTTTTTTTTTAGCTGGGGGTCTGATGTTTCCATTCTTTGCTAAAGCAGAGTTTGGAGAGTTTTCTTCCTGCTAGGGAAACTGATGTGGGGCACCACGTTGGTGGTGCCGTGCAGACTGGCTTACTGGTGGGCAGGACTACTCCCGAGAGCCTGGGTACTTCTCTCCCTCCCTCGCAGAGCTCCTCCTCAAGAAAGAAGAAATCCTGTGGCTGCCCCCAAAGGGGCTTTTTTTTGCCTCTGCCCATGTGTGATGGGTGCCTAGAAGACAAATTCAGGGCTCAGCGAGGGAGGGAGATGGGGGCGCAGGTATTGGGTAGGAGAGCGCTTGAAGCAATGCAGTGTTTTCTGGGTAAGGGTGGTTTTCCACTTCATGGTGCTGCAACTGTCTGGTCTGCTGCGGTCGTCACAGGAAGCCGTGTCCTATTTTGAGCACGCTTCCTCTCCTGCCTGTGCGTCCCTCTCAGCATCTGAGATGCCCTGCTTCCTCCTCCAGATGCACTTCTCCTCTCTGCCCAGCCTCAGCCCAGCAGCTCTTTGGAGAAACCAAACCCAACCGCATGGCTGCACTGGCATTAAGACATTGTGACTGGGGCTTTTGGAGTGGGTTTTTAAGGAGCAGCTCACCTTTCCCACCTCATGTGTTTGAGAAACAGATGCCCGGCCATTCTGCTGATGACAGGAATTAGATCCCAGCTCCCCAGATTCATTTGACCCTCTCTGTTTGGCAGGCAAATGATGTGCAAACCTGGGAAGAAGTGTTGAATTTTCCATGCTGCTGCCAGCCTCTAGGAAAGCTTCACACACTGAGCAGGAGAATAGGAAGGAAGGGTAGACCAAGAGTGCCAGTCATTTTTAAACAGTGTTTTTTCATTGTTACCAAGTTTTTTTGCAAGCTCAGTGTTTTCCTTCCCCCCTCCTCAATTTTCCATGTTTTTCTTCTGCTTTTTTTACAAAACGGCTTTGAGGGCAGGGGAGTGGGGGCGAGGATGGAGGTGAAGAGAAGTACATGAAAGTCAAAAGCCTTTTTTTTTTTAAATATACTGGTGCTGGAAGGGTTTTTTGCAGGTAGGGGAAAGGTTAGTTTTGAAAAACTGACAATATAGAAACCTCGCTTAGCAAAAAAAAAAAAGAGCTCTCAATTTGCAAAGGACGTTGAATTGTTGTGTGGCCAGGGATAGGGCACCAGACCTCCTTTTAGTGAGTATTTATGGAGAGGCATAGGCTTTAAAGGCCAATCTTGGAGAGATCCAGGTCTCAGGAGCCTTGATGTGCAGAGACTGCCTCCTCTTAGGGCTGAGCCACCGTCTTGCTGTCTCACTCACCTTTACTCATGGCTGGAGACCAATTCAGTGGGTCCTTCTCTGCAGGTGGCCAGTGGGGAAATTTTAGCAGCTGGCCGTGCTGCTGATGCCAAGCCTGGTTTCAGAGCTGATTACCTGCATGGTGTCCTCCCAGAGGGAGCAAACCAGACCTCATAGGTCAGGCTTAGGTGACTGTAACAGGAGGCAGGAACAGCTGTGGTTTTTATGGCTAGGACAGACTGTACGGGAGCCAAATTAAAAGTACTCTATGCTGGACTCTGTCAGGATAGACAATAAGAGAGAGAGACATTTTCCCTGAAACTGCACTGTTTAAACAGAAGAGAAGATATGCAGCTGGTGTGAGATGAGGAAGGGGAAGTGCGGGGTGGGTGCTCTTCGCTGGAAGTTGGGCCGTGCCTCTTGAGAACTGATCCACGACAAACTTTCCACTGTAGCTTAATGTGGAAGTCATTTCAGTGAAAGGCCTTTTCCTCAGAAAAGGCTTCATCTAAACAGAAGTGTTGGTTTTGATGACTGTTTAGGCTGGACAGCATCTCAGAGTGGCTTACATTCCTGTCCCCGGTAGCTTTGATGGAGATAAGTCTAGGTTTCTGCTCTGAAATTTTGTTTGGTAATGTAAACTAATTCTAGCACCTCCCTTCCTTTCAGAAACCCAAACATCCAACTGATTGAAATGAAACCTTTAAATGACCCATCCTGAACTGGCTTTCACATTTTTTAGTGTTGTGAGCACACTATAGATTTTGAATCTCTTCTCCGGGCAGGGGAACAGCTTCCTGCCCAGCCACACCAACAACCCATAACCAATTTTGGAGGCTGTTTCTTCCTGGAGGAGGGATACCCTGGGAAACTGGCAGATGAATATGGTCACGGCTTGTCAGATTCCACATCTTTATTCCCTTTTCCTAGTTTTGCCTTGCTAGGCTACTTTCCCAATTTGGAGTGAGGGGGACTCAAAGTCTAGTGTTTATCAATCGCATGGGCACTTATGCTCATGGAGAACTGCCAGGCAAAGCCATTGGACACCAGTGGCTCCATATCACTGCTGGCACTGCCATCCAGCAGACACCCTTTCCTATCCAGCCACATTCTCCACTCTAGAACAGAGGGATGCCTTCCATGCTGCATCCCTCCTCAAGCCCAGATTGGCTGCCCTGCAACAGCAGTGGCTGCCACCTTGAGCTGCTTTCTGTGCGGATGGGAGCTGGGCTCTGTGATTTCCCCCCACCCCTGGCAGGAGGAACCGTGCTGGGGGTGACGTGGTGCAGGAGGCGAGTGGGAAGCTGTGGTGGAACGGCTGCTCCACAGGCCCACAGGCTAGCTGCCAGAGTGGGCAGCCTGCGAGTGCTGAGGTAGCATGACAGGAGATCCTGCATGGCCCTATAGATGGTCTGGTGGAGAACAGGAGGGTGGATATAGTGGGGAGGCTGCTTCTGTCCACCCTATTTGCCTGCAGGGACACAAGTGACAATGGGTGTTCCTCTGCTTGCATATCCCCAATGGGGACAGTAGGTCTGGCATGGCCAGAGAGACCTTCTGAGTCTCTTCCAGGCTCCATTAGCATGGACAACAGCAACTGGTGTCTTCTTGAGAAAGACCTTTGTAACTGGGTCAAATGCTCTCCAGGCAGGTTTTTAGCTGGGGCCCTCCTCTCTCTCCCATCCCAGCCATCGTGTGAGGCTTTGCTGAGGGACACACAGCAGCAGTGGCTTGGATTCTGGCAGCAGCTGCTCTTCCAGATTTCCCACTCTTGGAGGCATGAGGGATGGAGAGATGAGGATGCAGGCAGTTGCCTGTGCTGTTGTGATCTCTTTCAGGACAGAGCCAGGGCACACACACCAACATCTCTGGGATACTGCAGCCAGGTGTACCATGGAGATCAGAATTTGGGAGAGCCAGAGAAATGAGACTTGCCTAACCCCGACACTCATAGGCCCTTTTTCCAGTTCTTTTGGAGAGTCTGGTGTTCCCTGTGGTGACAATGCTCCTTCATCCCTGGGTTCCCACAGAAACATGTTGGATATCTGCAAAAAAGCATTTCCCACCTTGCATCAAGAGGAAAGTGGGAACCTTAGAATATTTTCACAAGTAGAAAATCTGGGAAAAGATACAGATTCCCATTTTAAGTCAATCAGATATGATGTTTATTAGCTGACTTTATATGTGTAAGCAAGTAATTTCCAGCAACAACATTTCTGTGTTTTTGAAAATGTCAGAAAGTTTCGATGGCTTCAGAACTTTTTTCTTAAGATGAAATATTTGTTGTAGTGGAATTTTCTGGCTCTGACACGCTAGTGAGGGAAATCCCCTGCTGCTGACAAACCCTGCCTTGACTGAAGGTTGTGATACGGTCCCCTGACCCAGAGTGACTCCTTTACCTGAGACTTAGCTAATTGGTTCTTGTCCCGTGATCACCTTGAAAGTGGTTTTAACTAAGAGACTTTACCAGTGGGGTGCGGTAGGAATGTGTGTGTGGCCCGTTGTTGCAGCTCAGCTGTTGGAGGGTAATTCGCCAAGTTGCTGTAGCACATACATTTGAGATCATGAAACCATCCTGCCACCTCTGCTCAAGCCAGGTGGTCTCTGAGGGTCCTTCATTGCCTTCCTTTTGTGTGCAGAACATTTCTCTTGCCATGCATATTTCCCAAATGCTGGGTGGGTGTGGGGAGAAGTAGAGACTCGTCTCCTCATCAGAGCCTTTGGGAGCAATGACAGCTCCTGGAGCTGTTGTCTGCCTGCCTCGTCCCCTTTGTCCCTGCCCAGGTGCTGCGTTTAACCAGCCTGTGGGCAGCTGGTGGAGAGACTGTTTACGGCTCGCGACTCCTTTTTGATTTAATGAAAGCTCATTTTCTGCCTGAGGAAAGCTTTTCTCCAGCAGCCCTGATCCCCGCCTGGCCCTGAAGAGGGGGAGATGTGCCACATAATGGCATCGAGGGGGATTAGAGAGGCATGGGGGTGGAGGAAGAGGAGGAGGAGGCGGGAAGCAGCAGGGGGCTGTGCACACTTAACACACAAACAGATGTTCTCCTTTTAACCCAAGCATCATTCAACCACGGTGCTTTAGTTTTTCTAAAATTGACACCTAAGCCAGGGCTCCCTCACCCCCTCACTCGGGTCATGGGTCCCCTTCTCCCTGTTCACAAGGCGGCTGGGCAGGGGAAATGAAGCCCCACAAGTGCTGATGATGGTGCCATGTGGGAAGGGGGACCACAGCCATCCCTCTGCTCAGCTGGTGCCTGGGAGGGGGGCACGGCAGTAGGGGATGGAGTGGGGTGGCCCCAGCGAGTGAGTCTGGCTGCGGGGAGGAATGGGTGGGTGGCCAGGAGCAGCACCAGCTCCAGCCCTGAGAGTAATCTCCTCTTCTCATTTCCCCAGACCTATGTCTTCACTGATGAAGAAGACGATGCCCTGAAAAGGAGAATGGGTAATGACCTGTCCTGTAACACCACCTTCCCCTCCCTGTCTTCAGCCTCTGAACTGTCACAGCCTTGGGAGGGGATTTGGCACCCACAAAGCCCCCAAGTGATGATTTGTTATGGTTGGCTTACCCCAGGGCACGCAGCCGACTGGAGGCAGGGTGCTGTCTGCCTTAGAGCATCCATGGGTGGAAGCAGCCTGAGAGAGAGCCCTTCAGTCCCCACACCCTGGCTAGCAGTGGGCAGGGTGAAAGTGTGGTTGGCAGGTGTCCTAATCTTGGCCAAGATGTTTGGCTTTCTCCAGGTTTCATCTCCTGGTAGGGGGAAGGATGGAGCCCATGTCACCGTGGGCTCAGATGCTTGTTCGGGGGGCCGCGAGGAAGCTGGCTGTGAACAAACCCTTTCCCTCCCACCCAGAGGTCCTCCCCATGACCGTGTGAAGCAGGCCAGCCCCAAGCCACAGCCTTCTCTCTCCTGGCAGGTGACCATGTGGTCTTCACCAACTGCTCTGCTGAGCACAGCCACCCAGCTCTCTCCTGCAAGATGGCCGCTGAGTTTGACGCCTTCCTGGCCAGCGGCCGGAGGTGAGGCAGGGCAGATGTGGGGGGACCCCTGAGAGCAAGAGGCACCCTCCTTACCGCAAACCTCTTGTGTCTTTGTACCCATCTCCCCCCAGCTGGTTTTGCCATTTGGATGATGACAATTACCTGAACCCTCGGGCCCTCCTGAAGCTCTTGTCCTCCTACTCTGCGACGTGGGATGTTTACCTGGGGAAACCCAGCCTGAACCGACCCATCTGGGCCTCCGAAACGCTGCCAAACAACCAGACGGTACAGCCTGTGGTGGTGGTGGTGGGGCCAATGGGTTGTTTTTAGTGCTCTGGCTCATTGGCTGTAGATGTACCCCAAGGAGAGACAGGTCCAAAGAGCAACAGGCAACAGCTGAAAACTCGCCAGTCTTGTCTGAACATGGTTGTAGGTGTTGACTCAATCAGATCTACCTAGGGAGGGTCCCATGTTGCTGCTACGCCTTTGGGTATCTGTCTGCCAGGAGATAAGCCTGCCTTGGGCAGTCCACCTGCTGCTGTGAGCAGGAACTTGGTGGTTCCAAATATGAGGAGGTGAAAATCTATGCTGTATTGCTGGCAAGTCCTTCTTCTGGGCAGCAGTCAGGGATCTGGGGTGACAATAGGGCTGTGTTTGTCTTGGCATCAAAGCTGGGTTTCCAGCATTCCCATCTCAGGAAGTATGGCATCATCTGAGCCTCTGCCATTGATTTTCTCTGCTGTTTCTCTCCAGAAATCTGTGCGTTTCTGGTTTGCCACAGGAGGAGCTGGGTTCTGCATCAGCCGCAAGCTGGCAAGCAAAATGGTGCCTTGGGCCAGGTAAGCTGTGCAGCTGGTGGGTATGGGAGACTTTGGGGACGAGGAACATGGACGCACATTAATTCCTGGCAGTGTCAGATCTGGATTTGTGTATGTGGTGTTTGCAAGGATGTTTGCAAGGGTGCAGAGTACCATATGTTCCACATCTGCAATCACGTGGGACTGGAGGAAGGATGTAGTGGGTGAGTCTGCCACCTGATTAAAAAGAGGCTAGAGCAGGCACGTCAACACACATGATCATAGGATGACATACTCCCCCCTCCCCAACTCCTTTCAACTCTTGGTTATTCCCCTGCACTCCTTCTCATCCCTTTCAGCTTCCTCTGACTCTTTTCCTAAATCCTTTCCCTGTCTGCCTCTCCTCTCCTCTTAATCTGACTCTTTCCAACCTCCTGTACTTCCCTCCTGAGCTAATTTCCCATTCCCCCATCCCAAACTCTCTTCAGCTTCTTACAGCAGCCACTGTCATTTCCTCAGCTTGGTGCATGGAGGACCGAGGTAGGCCCTGGGGTCCTGTGTTAGCCCAGCCTACAACAAAACGATGTTTTCCAGGATGTCCTAGGTTATATCACAGGCTATATGCACATACACCAATCAGCAATGGCTGTGCCAGCCTTAACCAGATCTGTGTGTACCCAGAAAGACAGATCTGATCCATACCAGGTGGCTGATTTAGCTGAAGCCCGTAATATGTATTTTATGGTAGACCCAGACAGGAGGATGATCTGTGATCTAGGGTAAAATGAAAGTGGCATGGATAGATAACACCTAACTTGACATAAAGTCTGCCACTACTGTGTTAAAATGCTTAAAACACATTTGAACTAGCTGAGGGGTGTTAGAGTAGACAGTGCTTCATGCTGTGTAACTGCTTCCAGTTACAGGAGCCTTAAAATTGGGCCTGTTGTCAAAGGATGGCCAAGTGTGTGGTGTTACATTGCAGTGGAGCCATTGATAGCTTATTCAAGCTGCAAGAGACTGTCCTGTTTCTTCTTCCTCCTGGTCCTGGCCATGCAGTCTCACTGTTTGTCTTATGCTGGCTTGTCTGACCCCTCAGGGGCTCAGTGCATCTCACCTAACAGGTGGAAAAGCGGCTTGGCAAAGTTTGCCAGCTCTCTGCATCAGCCCACTGAGGAGCTGGATAGGTATCAGGGACAGCACTGGACAATTGGTGGGACAGCCTGGCTGGCAGTGGTCAAAGAGCCCAAAACCTTTGCAGGTGGAACTCAGGGATTTCTTGCTTAGTTCCAAGATTTACTCTGGTTTTCAGTTAAGTACTTCATTTATCTCCCACCCAAGTGGATGCCTATATCCCCCCTACCCTTGTCCTAACCTACACAGCCCTACTCTCTTTCAGTGGCAGGAACTTCCTGAGCACTTCAGAGCTCATCCGCCTGCCGGATGACTGCACTGTGGGTTACATCATTGAGTGCAAAGTTGGCGGGCAGCTGCTGCCCAATGCGCTCTTCCACTCCCACCTGGAGAACCTGCAGCTCATCCCCCCCTCTCGGCTCATACAGCAGGTGAGAAGGGGAAATGGAGCAAGAGGGATGTGTGTGAGGAAGGAGAGGTGGAGGAGGGAAGCTGACAGGCACATTGCCCCATTGGTGGCACTGATGTGGGTTGAATCAATTGTCTGCTCTTTTGGAGAGACTTCTTTGAAATAAGGAGCAGAAGTTGTTGGCAGCATGGATGCCAGTCACAGTGCCCCTGGGGTCAGTGGTAGGGAGCCCATGTGTAGTGGGTGATGTGAGGATTGAGGGCATCCTTGCGGGCACGTGGCACAAGGGCAAGCAGAAATGATGATTGATTGGAGAAGGGGCTTTGACAAGGCACCATGTCTGCCTGGCATGGGGGGACAACAAGGGGCGTAGGGGGCTTGGAGAGGCAAAGGACTAGCGTGGTGGACCAGCATGGGAAGGAAGAGAGGAGAGGTGGAAGGCAGAGGCCAAGCCAGCAGAAAAGGAACCAGAATGGCAGCTTCTGTCGTGCAAACCGAGTTCCTTGCTCCTGAACTCACCTCACCCTCCCTGCTCCTTTCTCACCACCCCTCTTTGCAGGTCACCCTCAGCTACGGTGTCTTTGAGAACAAGCTCAACGTTATTGAACTCAGAGGCCCCTTCTCACCCCAGGAGGATCCCTCAAGGTATGGGGCATGAGTGCTCTGGGTGTTGCTGTGTTGTGAACCCTTAGACAATAGGCTGGGAGGGGGAGACAGCCAAATGGGGTGCAGGAGGTCTAGAGTGAGGGACAGAAGCCTTGCAGTCACAATGGCTTATTGGGTGAGGAGCACACCAGCATTAAGTTGCTTGTGAACACTTACAAACTTTGCAAACCTTTTTGGATGAGTGGGAAGAAAAGAAGTATCAAAACGTTTTATTTGGACAATTCCTGAGCCAAAAGTATTGCCATTTGTTTCACATTTTGAGACTGAACAAGCTAACCTTTTACCTCTGGGACAGAAACAGAAGTGTTCTTTTAAACTCAGGAAAGGAAATTCTGCTTGCTTCTTCATTTTTTGTTTTGCTGAGAAAACTGAAGGGAAAAAAGAAAAAGGTTCACTTCAGGCTGACTGCAAACAAAAATGTTCTTTGATTTACCTTCTCTGCTTTGAGTGAACAAACCTAAAGTTGTTATTTGCAGAGCATGAGTAGGAAGCTCCTGGCTGGAGATAGCAGGGGTGGGAAGCATATAGGTGACGAAAAGAGCATCAACAGAACCATGTAGCTGGTGCAGTGCCCATCTCCCTGCCTGTGATCAGGGTGAGCCATGGGCTTGGGCTGTGTGGGCAGAGCCAGATTCAGGTGTTGGGGGGAGGCTTGGCTGCTTAGCTTTGCTGAGAAAAGGCATCTTGAGGTGAACAACCAGTCCTGGAGCTCTGTAGTGCAGGGTGGGTGCCTGATGTAGCATGGGGCACGAGGGAGAGGTCTGCCATTCTCCAGCTGTGAGCTGGTGTAAAAACTGTCATCTGGTCTTCCTTTGCTCTCTCCCCAGCAGGTTTCGATCACTCCACTGCCATCTCTATCCCGACACCTCCTGGTGCTTGCAGGCTGTTGGCTGGTGATGCCTGAGCCTCAGCTACAGCGGGTCCTGCTGACATCCATTCACCTTATGCCTGTAGGGGATGGGACACTGAAGAAGCTTGGTGCTCCCAACTTTCCCTTTTCTATGGTGGTCTTGGGGCTGTGTGATGGCTTTTTTGGCCTTGCTGAATACCGGTGACACAGGACAAGAGACAAGATCTTTGCCAAAGATGGATAACATGGGCTGGACACATGGATGGGCTTCCCGTCTGTGCTGGGATACATGCAAGGGATGGGAGCAGTATGCCTCCCTGAGCAGATCAAGGACTGGGTGGTGACTGCTGGGCATCTGGGTAGAGATGGGGACCTGCTGCTGGTTCTTGCTGTGGATTCATCTTTCTGGACTAGAAAGGCCCTGGGTATGGGTAACCAGTGCCCAACTGAGGATGGCTGATAGCGTGTTGTGGCTCCAGCATCTCTGAGCCGGCCTTCTTCCTCCGTATCTGCCTGTGCTTTCCCCACCACCCACTCTTCCCTGCCACAGCCCCTTGGCTGAGTCGCTGCTTAGTCAAGGTCTATAGATATGGAAAATGTGACCATTTCTGTGGTGAATGAATGCTGGAAAAGCATAGTCTTTGCCTGGCAGAGGGAAGATGGGCAGGAAGTACAAAACATTGGGAATCCCCCCATCTGCTGGGGCAAAGGAGAGGGTGTGGGGTGGGGGAGCCAGGAGGAGACACACTGAGATGAGGATGGTTCTCGCACTGAACATTGAAGGCTTGATCTTGTATGGCCCTGCATTATTCCTCTCTTTTTACCTTCTTGATATGGGGTCAGGATAATCTCTTGCTCTAATTACCAACCTGTCGTCTGAGATTAGACTCCAACTCCTACCTGTGAGAGAGGAAACATAAAGGATTAGGACTGGCTGAAAGAGAGGAGAAAGGAAGAGATGGACAAGGAGCGCTCAGGAGCGGATTAGAGGTTACAGCTTTATAATCTTCTCTGTGCCCCCACCAAAAAAATTAAGTCATGAAGGAATGGAAACAGCAAGGCAAAGAGCTTTCTATCTCTGCGTTTCTTTCCTCCAGATGCTAAGAGCAGCTTTCTGCCTTCCTGCTGTCCCTGCTGAGCGCAATGGGGGAAGGAGCAGGCCCAAATAGGTTACAAGCTTTCTGGCACGTTTGTGAAGAGTCCTTTTCTCCGTACAGAGCCTGGCATGAAAGCTGGGCAATTCTGCTTGCTGGGAAATGAACCTTGGCACCATTTTGTCCATGTACACATGGTTAAATGGCTGGGGGAGAGCGTTGCAGGGAAAGCTGGAAGGCAAAGACGCTGTTTTAAATGGCAGGTGGTGCCACAAACAGGTATTTCTCTTTAAAGAGCCTTTCAAAACACACTGCTGGGATCTGTGAAAGATTCCTGTAATCTCCAGATGAAAGGACAAATGCCCTTTCTCCGAAGAGCTGCTTAGCTTTGATGCTGCTGATGTGACTAAGCCTGCTGCTGGTGGGCTGGAAGAGCCAAGGGCAACTATCACTGTGCCTCTACCATTTTGAAAACTGGCCACCCTGTTGTCTCCTCCTCCCCCCTGACCCCCCCCAAAGCACCAGCATCTCCTACACAGCACACACAAAGTTTAAAGGAAAGGCATCAGAAAGACCTTCCACCTCTGCAAAGGGGAATCTAGAAATGAACGAGCACTTTAATTTCTGGAGAAGCAGAAAGCAGGAGCCTGTAGGGCTGTTTTCCAGCCTGGTCATTCTTACCGGCATTTAACCAGCTTGTGAAGCAGCAGAGCACCCTGCTTTCTTCTCTTGCACAACATGCCTTTGTACTGGAAATTCATCCTGAGCAGGGACAGGGACTAGCTAATGCCAATGACCATTGCTTGAGCTGCGCAAAGCACTTGGCTCACAAAGCTATGAGAACCTAGGAACCATGCGGCTCAAAACAGAGACACCCAACTATTGGAAGGCAGGTGCAGCATAAAGAAGTCCTGCCCCACAGGGTGAATGACTTGGTTTGAACTTAACCAGAAGATGAAAAATGCTTCCATGAGAAGTGAGAGTCTTCAAGAAAAATCTATACTGCCTGGACATCATCTTTTTTCCCCATTCAAACACTCAGCTATTGTAGTTAATTGACTCTTTGAGTTAAAAAGCCAGTCCTATCTGTAGATGTCCTGGTGACAGTCAAATCAAAATGTGATTTGTGTGCCTGGAGAAGGAGAAGAAACTGGTAGAGCAGACTCCCTTCCCTGGGGAAAAGCAAGGCACAGAAACTGGAAGCCCGCTTTGGATCCTGGCCTTAGCTGGTCTGACCTGGCCTGGTGCCTTTTGCATGGCTGAAGATCAGATGTTAAATGGGTTGAGTCCTTGAGTGGCTGCATGGGGACCAGTTTAAGACTGAGCTTCGTTGCTGGATCAGTGAAGTGCCGCTTCTGTGGAAAATGTCTCAAAAGGAAACCAAGAACAGATGAGAAGATGTCTGGGGCAGGGCATCTCTTGGGCTGTAGAGAAATGAATGACAGAAAAGTCCTGTTATGCCTGTGACGACAATGAGCTGGAAAGAAAATAGCTTCTCGGAGTCGACAAAAGAAACCAGGCTTTCTCTAAGAACACAGAGACAGCTTAAGGGGACATTCACCACATGAAATCTGATCAATGTTAAAACCTGAGTTAAAATTAGTTTCAGGAATGGTTCCTGCCCCTGGGGCTTGCTGTCAGATGTTGTGGTTTTACAGTCTCATTTTCCTAGTTTATTAAAATGTTTAGCTGCTTGAGAAAATAAGAAACAATCTCATGTGAAACTTTTCAGGGGACTGCCTTTTTTTATTCTCCTTCATGATTTTCTGATGTAACTGTTAAAGTTTTTTGGAAAGGTTCCACTGGGTCTATTAATTTTTTTTTTCTCTTTTTTTCTTTTTTTGTACCACTCTCTTTCACACTCCCTTTTCCCATTGCAGGAAAGAAAAAAACCCTATCCCAAGAATGAAAAGGGATGGAGACATGGTCTTTTTATTTTACAGGGAAAAATGGGGTCAAAGTCAAAGGTGTTGGCATGACCCTGCTGTTGTACAACATTAAGTGTAGTTCAAGGTTTCAAGTACAGAGACCTCCGCCTGCCCAACACCATAGCAACCAACACTATTAATGATGTTTAAGCTGTATACTGTAAGATTCAGAAAAAGGAGAAGGAGGGGAAAAAAAGCAGTTACAGTATTTGAAATGTAAAGTATTAAGTGAGGCTTTCATGTTAACAATGTCCTTTCTCCACTTTCCCCTTAGCTGTGAAGAATTTTTATAAGGAAACCCCTATTTGACAGTGCAAAAAAATGCTAATGACTATCCTTTCTTTAGGGGGAAAAGAGAAGTTAGCTGAAATAGGTGGGAAACTGCAGTTGTTACTAAAGGCTTGAAGGGGAGAGAGAATAGTAACACTAGACAATGCTTCAGTCCCTGGTGCCAACTCCTCTTAACAACTCTGCTACCGAAGAAAAACAGATTTCTAAGCCACTGTGGGATTTACCCAACTCGTACTCAGATTGCAGCCTTCAGCTCTCTCCCCAGGCCTCTTGCTAAATATGCAGCCTTCAAAAGACAAGCAGTTTATTAAACAGAAGCCAAAAGGTGAGAAATAGGAACAAGAAGAAAGGAGATTGGAAGGAAAGAAAGCACCAAGCGGGGCCTTGGAGGAGAACAGGGGAATTTAAGCTATGCATTGGAAGTGCTGTTTGGGAGCTGCCCAGAAATAGTGGGAAAGGGATTGTTTCCTGCACCCCCAGCTCTGAGTGTTTTTGTGATCAGGACAACTGTAGCCCGCCGGTGCCAGAGAGGATGCCAGTCTGTGAGTCAGAGTTCACCTTGGAAGAGATGAGATCAGGTTGATTGGCCCCAAAACTCTTCTTTTTCTTTTTTTTTTTTTTTTTTTTTTTTTTTTTATTTTTTAACAACACTCCAGAGAAGTTGATGGGTTTTCATCTGACACCAGATTTGACCTCTTAATTTCAAGGCTTCCTCTGCCCTTGCTTACAATGCAGGCTCTTCAGACAGTCCAGGGGTGGGATATCAGCTCTTGTCATTCATTTATTTCATTTCTTTTGTCTTCATTCCCTGAAAAACCCTACAAGAAAGCTGGCTTGCCCTTTTGCACCACTGGCTACCAGGGCTGTACAGACCTGAGCACACTTCTGGGGTGGATGCAAAGGTGAAGGAGGGTGACTGACTCCTCCGTTTGGTAACTGCATAGACAGAGAGAAGCATGGACCATTCTTATGTTCTTCCTCAAGGCGCCTGCTAGCAGCTGGTGCCAGAGATGGGATCTCATACTAACTGGGACTTTCTTCTGTCCCAAATACCGCTGGGCTTATGGCTTCACTGAAGAGGATGTGTTACCATAGGCATAAGCAAGGCCAAGAAGAAGGGCAGCATCACATATGTACCAAATAACTGTCTGTTTTCACCAGCTGATGCAGCAATTTTTCCTGTAGACTTTCTGCCCCAATTTACCTGGGAGGTTAAAGGAGTGCAAGGCTGAGCTGTTGTTGCTCAGCTGACATTGCCTCTTTAAGGCTGTTCCTTGACAGCCTGAGATTTTTGTTGTGCCCTGTTTGATCCAGCTTGGACTCCAAGAAAGCTGGGAACTCATCTCTCTCCCTGTTTGAACTGTATGTGATTAATTACAGACCCTGAGAATGGGCTCCTTGCCTATCTCTCATGTTTAAATTGCCTTCCAGGATTTTGCAAGGCTAAGGAGCCTCTTCAGATGTTACATCTTACTGTGCCTCGGTCAAGCCTCCCTTGGTTTTGCTGGGAGCTGCATCTGATTCATAGTGAACTTGAGAACAAATTAAACTGAGTGCTTTGTACACGGATTTGATGGCCCTGACCCTTCTGCCGCTGCTTGAGAAGAAGACAGTGTTGATTTTAGCAACATAAGAAAAAGTGCAACTAAACAGGGCAATTGGATGGGGAGAGATGCTGCTACTCTGAACCCCTGCTTTCCCCCTGGAAGTGGGGCATAAGAGAGAATCTGCAGCTGGTGCCTTTGGCCACAGTGTATCAGGTGGAGGATATGCCATGAAATATCCAGCATTTGCACTGGCAGAGAATCCAGCAGCCCCAGCTGTGAGCCAAGGCCGGCTTGTACTTGTTGCTGGACAGAGAGAAAAATGGCACCTACCCTGAAGCACTTACAAGCAGAGACAGGTTGGGGAAGAAGGGGAGGGCTTACAGGAGCAATGGGACAGTATTGTCACATCTAAGGAGGGGGAACAAGATGGTCTTTGGGACAGTGAGGAGAAGAGTTCAGGAGCAAAGGTCCCTCTCCACCCAGAAATACCATGAAGCAACAGATCTGAAG